TCCATCTATTTACACATGAGGGGTAATGAAATGAAATGTTGTCAATTGGAACCTCAGGTACACTAGCAAGCTTGCTAGTTGTTGGTTTCTTCTTTGATGGATTTTCAGATACATCATCATCATCTAAAGTAGAATCAGTTTCAGTACTGGATTTGGCCTTCCTCTTCTTTGTAACCACCTTGCTCCATGCTTTAGCAGGCCCAACAGGGGTATTCTTGGCTACAGTCTTCTTTTTGGGGTTGCTTTGCATAGCTTGTTTCTTCCTTTTCCTCGTTATGAGCCTTTTGGATATACCAGGATTGCTCTTGATTATCAAATCATCATCAGAGTACTCCTTAGGATCTACAGTGTCAGTCACATCATCATTCTGATCACCTTGCATGTTAACATCCATACTCTCAGAACCTTGACCCTTGTTGTTGCCCTCTTGTGAGGTGGCTTACAATGTTTCAACATCGTGCGTGACATTGCCTTAATTATCCAAATTAGGCGCAGGACTCTCAGAGTTAGGTGGAATGTCTATCCTTGACACCTCATTTGGCTCAATCAGAACCCTCGTTACTAGGTTGGCAATGATAGAGTGGATTTTCCTAGCCTCTTCCTCATTGATTGCCTCATCATGAGTTGAAGAGTGAGGAGCCTGACCTGTTACAAGTTCTGTAGGTCTTCTTGCATGAGAGGTTCGTGGGTTCTTCACCATCAATCCTTCTAGGGTTAGCATTCTCAGAGGATCTATTTCAAGAACCTCTTTAGGGTTAGCAGTGGAATCTGTGTCAGAGCTGGTTGGCATCTTCTTGGAAGGAATATCTGTTGGATGTTGAGACATTTTTGGTGACTTTGATCGTGAGAGAGATGATTCTCTGTGCCTTTTGAAGGATGAATGGAAGACAAACAGTTTGTGAGGGTACCAAAGATAGAAGGGGTGTATCGTAGTAGTAGGGTATGATTGCCCAATAGGAGGGAACTTACCTTTTTGATTTAAATGATTTAATTTAAAACTGTAATTTCCTATCACTTTTAATTGCTCTAACTCATCATTACTGGAGGACCTTAATTTTAGTAGAGAATTTTTAAATTGAGACTCCTTGACACTTCTTGAAACCATGTCAGCACTATTTAGGACATAATCTCCAGGTTTAGCACATCCCTCTTGCCATTTACACAAGTTACCCCTGAGCATGTCTCCCTTGAACTCATCAGAGCTTGTTTGGATAGTACTCTTGATGTCACAGAACAAGGTCATGACATCTGGAGTGACATTGTTTTCTTTATGCAGGGCAGCTTCCATGGACTCCATCAGGTTCCAATATAGCCTATCTAGCTTTCCCTGATGACTAATATTTGGGTATCCCTTCTTGGCTTGCTTCCCCTCATGACTTTTCTTACATCCTGTCCTTCTCTCTGAAGCACACTTTGAATATCCACTTGCTGATGTGTTGGACCTGGTCCTTTCCATCTTTAGTGGTTGTCTTCCTTTCTCCAGCCATAGTTGGTCCTTATTTTCCTTATTGACGAAGACATTGAGGTTACTTCTAGGCTCTCATAGATAACAGTTGTTCTTGGCTCTAGATCCCCTCATAACTTCCTTACCTTCTTCATTGATGACAACACACTCATTTTTAGTAAATTTTACACTGAAGCCTTGGTCACAGAGCTGACTGATACTGATGAGATTAACAGTCAGTCCTTTCACCAACAAGACATCATCCAGTCTTGGAACATCAGGGCCATTTAGTTTTCCAGCACCTTTAATTTCTCCTCTAGCTCCATCACCAAATGTTACATGACTAAAAGAATGGGGTTTGAGTTTTATCAAGTGATCCTCAATTCCAGTCATATGTCTGGAACATCCATCTGCTTCATTTTGGATTCCAACTAGTTGACCTCACTTTCGAGTGAGTCTATTGTTGCTAGCTGCTCTATCTTCTCAGCCTCTAATTCCATTATGCACTTCTTCTGGTGTACTCCTTGCTGATACAAGTCAGTGCTTCTGATGTACAACTTCTTAAATGATTCAGCAAGTTCATCATAAGTCAATTAATCCTCACTTGAATCACCATCAGATATGCATACACTGTTTAGAACAGTTACATGTTTGGAAGATTCTCCTTCTGATCCACTTTCTGAATCTTCATCCGACCATGTGACAGCTAGGCCTCTTCCCTTCTTTTTGAAGTATGTAGGACATTCCTTTCTGATGTGTCCATATTCCTCACACTCATGGCATTGAGCCCCTTTGCTTTGGTTAGAATTCTCCTCAGAGTTACTCTTTCTGCTGCTGTCAGAAGATGTGTTCTTGGCATAGGGCTTAGACTTATGAGTTATCCTTTTGATCAGTTTATTGAATTTTCTTCCAAGCAAGGCTATTGCTTCTGACAAATTCTCCTCTTTTACACCACCCTCTTCTTCTGAATCCTCAGCAATGTTTGAGACAAGAGCTATACTTTTGCTCTTTTTCTCTATAGTTTCATCACACAAGCCCATCTCAAATGTTTGGAGAGAACCTATGAGTTCATCCACTCTCATGTTGCATATGTCTTGGGCTTCTTCTATGGTTGTTACTTTCATGGCAAACCTTTTAGGTAAGGACCTGAAAATCTTTCTTACCAGCGTCTCTTCAACCATATTTTCTCCCAAGGCTCCTAAGGTGTTTGCAAGTTCAAGAACATTCATGTAAAACTCATGAATGGTCTCATCTTCCTTCATTCTCAGACCTTCAAATTTGGTGGTCAGCATTTGAAGTCTTGACATTTTGACCTTGGAAGTTCCCTTATGAGTAATTGTGAGTGCGTCACAAACATCCTTTGCCAGTTCACAGTGGTGTACCAGTCTGAAGATGTTTTTGTCTATTCCATTGAATAGTGCATTCAATGCTTTAGAGTTCCCAAGAGTTAAGGTCTCTTGCTCTTTGTTCCATTCCTCTTCAGGAATTAACACAGCTACTCCATCCTTGTCAGTCTTCACAGGATGTTCTCAGTCAGAGTTTGCAGCTCTCCAAGCCTTGTTGTCTAAGGATTTTAGGAATGCAATCATCCTAGGATTTCAATAATCATAATTAGAACCATCCAGAATTGGAAGTCTATTAGTGAATCCTACATCTTTATCCATAGTACCAGAATTTATTTTCCTAGATCTCACCCAGAATAAACAGGCAGGGTGTCTGCTCTGATGCAAATTGAAATTCTGGCAAGCACACGGTGGATGTTACTGCCAAAGTTATAACATCCACTGTGACATTGACTACTGTACTAACTAATTAAGCTGTAAGTAAAAGCAGTAAATAACACAACAATTGTTCACCCAGTTCAGTGTCAACAACACCTACATCTGGGGGCTACCAAGCCAGGGAGGAAATTCACTATCAGCAGAATTAATTCAGAGTTAAACCTCCAGTTTACACTCCTCACTTAAAACCTACCCAATGACACTTCAACCTAGAGACACTCTAGACCTGAGTATTCCCACTCACTCCCCCTCAATCACACCACAGTGATATCAGTACACAATTACAAAATAAATATGAAGAACCACTTCATACACACCTTGATCTTGCTTCAGCGCTTTGATCAAGGGACACACACACTCTTGCTTAACAGCTTTGAGTGAGACACAACTTAGAACCTACCTAACCAATGCAGCAGGCCGTTGCTTGGTAAACAAGTATTTCTAAGACTCAATTCACACGTGAAGAACACACTTTCTTCACTCAAAATTCTCACGTGAAGAACAACCTTCTTCACTCACAATTCTCACGTGAAGAACAACCTAGGACTCTTGGTCTGCACTCTTTGATCTTCTGATAAGTGCCTAATTTTTAGGATTGCTCCTTCTGATATTTATAGTGCAAACAGTCCTTTGGCCCTTAGTGCACATAGTTAGGTTTAATCATAACAAACCCTACTCTTCAATTCTCTGCACGCTTGCCCTTTAATTTAGGAACATTTGTTTCGCTTTAGTGCTTCTCAAATGTCTCCTGTCTTTTAGCTTGAGCTCCTGATTTGATTCCTGATTTCTAGATACCAGAAAAATTAACTTGTCCGCTGGATGCCATACGGCCAGTGTCATGACATTTTGTATGACATTCAACTTAACTTACCCTGCACACACATTATTAAGTATGTCCTAACATTCATTCAAACTCTAAAATTTTGCCACAAAATGCCGTCAATCAAGAGCACTTACAATTTTAATAAAATATTTTAAGATATTTTTTAACAACATATCACACATATTTATAAAAGTTTAGAATCATTATTGACTATGCAAAATTATCGGTGCAATCATAAATCTACAAAAATATCGGCAAAATTCTAACCTTGAAATGTTAATACTACTAAATTTTTCGAACATTTAATAAAAAAAATCCATTAATTACCAGAGATTTTGAATTATTGGAAATTTTAAAAAATTGATAGTCTCAAAAGGTTTTTGAAACACAAATATTTTTTATTGTCCTACCAAAATTTATACAAGTATACTGAATATTTTGGCACGCCATTAGACAAAAATGTTTTTGTTATTATGAAAAATTGGAGACAAAATCTCCCATCAAAATTAAACTAGTTTAGATCCGCAAGTATGATACCTGAAAGGTTCATATTATTAAGTTAAAGCCTACAAGTTCAAACATAAAAGATCATCGATATACTTTTTGAAAAATATTTGAGGAGGAAGTAAATAAGAGTTATATTTACAATTTTAAGATATACTATTAAAAAGCGTCATCATCAATCCCATCTTTATCAAATGTACAAACCCAAATGAAAAGTAAAAACAAGAGAACCAAAATTAGATAAACAAGTCCATTATGAGTAGTTCAATTTCAATGGTGTGTAACGGGACATTATTGTTCAAAAGGTTCAAGACTCTATCAGATCAGAACCAATCAATTAAATCACCTATAAATTACATATAAAAAGATCGAATTCTCTACCGACTAAAGTAAAAATTCAATAAAATAAAAATATATGTTTATAGACAAAGACATCTAAGCTAAAAGCATGGAGAGGAAGATTCCAGCAAGAGAAGTAATGGCAACAAAGGAATTTGTGATAGAGAATGCAGCAGAGGGTGCATCAGCTTCTCCTGAGTTTGATGCTGGACCATTTGTTCCTGGTGCTGGTGGAGAAGAAGTGTTTGGGGTTGGTGATGAAGGAGAGGGTGTTGGAGAAGTGGTTGTAGGAGAGGGTGTTGGTGATGTGTTTGTGGAGGGTGATGGAGCAGGTGCTGAGTTGGGTGATAATGATCTTGTGGGCGCGGGTGCAGGAGCTTGTTGTGCAATGCATGATGTAGCCAACAACCCTAATATCAGAAACACTTTAATTGCAACAGAGGCCATTTTTTTGTATATGTTATATTGATATAGAAGAATGTCAAGTGAAATATGATTGAATCAATTCAATAAGAGTAGAGAAAAACGGATTAAGGTATTTGAGAATCCTACAAATTGATTTGTGTATTGTTCAATTGCATAACTTCAACTCGTGTATATATAGTGGAAAATGGGTGTGATATTGCTAAGGCGGTGTGTGATTACTAATGGGTCAAAATAAAATAAAAGACTACTTTTCTGTTTTTATTAGTATTTTTCTTTTTCATAATATCTTAATTTTTTCTTCTTGTGTCTTAGCTAGGGCGGTGGTGTGCTGTGACTTCTGGTTAATAATGGGTCAAATAAAATAAAATACTACTTTTCCTTAATTGTTAAAAGATTTTTTTATGCAATTTTGTTTGTGTGTTTGCAAGTTAAGTAATATGAGAGGACGGTACGTTTGGTATAACTGCGTTTAATCATTCTCACTTTGATTTTTCTACCGTTGTTTCTAGATTACCCAACATTAAAGATTGATTTGTCCACGTAAGAGTTACGTAAACTGATAGGTTGATAAGGTGTTGAAACGCGGTTCCTCTTTATCACAAAAATTCACCATTTCAAATCGGATAAGTCAATAATTTATTGACGTTGAAGACAGTATTTTAATTAACTTAGCAATTTAGGTTTTGATAATTATGTTTTTTCTCTAATTTTTTCAAAATGGCATTGGTAACTCATTTTGATTTAGAGTTGCATTACATAAATGTAAAGACTGCGTTTTTAGATGGAAATATTGAAGAGAATATATATATATATATATATATATATATATATATATATATATATATATATATATATATATATATATATATATATATATATATATATATATATATATATATATATATATATATGGACGGATCCAATTATAGTAGAATGGGGTCAAGTGATTCCACTTAATTTTTTTTTAAAAATTAATAATAATTAATTTTGAAATATTGACCCCACATTAAATGTATTATTGTTCTCATACTACTCATTTGATTTGAATTCTAGAAATCATAAATCTAACTATTAATCTTTTTATATTACTTTTTTATTAAAAAAATGAAAATTAAAAAGACACAAGTAAATTGTATTAAAAAAATTAATCTTGACCCCATTAATTAAAATTTCTGAATATATATATATATATATATATATATATATATATATATATATATATATATATATATATATATATATATATATATATATATATATATATATATATATATATATATATATATATATATATATAGTGCCACCAGAAAATGTGCCAGAAGACCCAAAATCTATGATTTATAAATTCAAGAAATCCATCTATGGCTTTAAATAGGCTTTTAGTCAATGGTATTACAAATTTCATTAATATTCTCATTTGGTTTTGAGGCTAATCCGGTTGATAGTTGTGTATACCAAAATTTAGTGGGACTAGATTTGTTTTTTCGTACTATATGTAGATGGTATTCTTTTGGCAAGCAACGATATAGGCTTATTGCACGAAACCAAGAGATTTCTCCTAAATAAATTTGAGATGAAAGATTTTGGGGATGCCTCCTTTGTCTTAGAAATTCAAATACTTAGAGACTATTTTCGAGGTAGTTTAGGATTGTTACAAAGAAGTTACATTGATAGAATTCTAGATAGATTATTCGTGAAAGATAGTAAACCAGAAGACACACCCGTTGCTAAAAGAGACAAGTTTTGTCTCAAACAGTGCCCCACTATAGATCTTGAAAATGAAGAGATGCATAAGGTTCCATATGCTTCAGCTGTGGAAAGTCTTATGTATGCTCAAGTTTGCACTCATTCCGACTTAACATTCATTGTAGGAGTTCTTGGAAAATATCTAAGCAACTCTGGTATGCAGCATTGAATAACAGTAAATCGTGTAATGCACTATTTGAAGAGAACAAGAGACTTCGTGCTCACTTATCAGAAGTCAGATAACTTGAAGATAATCGGGTATTCTGACCCAGATTTTACAGGATGCCCGGAGAGTAGAGATTGCACATCTGGTTACATCTTTCTATTGGCTGGAGGATTCGTCTCCTGTAAGTCTTCCAAACAGACTTTAGTGGCTCCCTATACCATGGCAGCAGAGTTTGTGACTTGCTTTGAGGCATCAAATCATGCAATTGGCTGCAGAACTTTATCACAAGCCTACACATCATTGGGAGCATCAAAAGGCCCTTGAAGGTTTATTGTGACAATATTTCACTTGTGCTCTATTGCAAAAATAATATGAGTTCTAAAAAATCAAAATTTATTGATAGCAAGTATCTTGTTGTGAAAGAAAGAGTTCAGGAGAAGAAATATTTGATGGAACATATAGGGACAAACTTAATGCTAGTTGGCCCACTAACCAAAGGTTTGACACCTAAGGCTTTTCATGGCCATGTTGGTCACATATGTCTTGGTTTTGAGACAGCCTTAGATTAGTGAGTCTTTTCCTTAATTTTCTATGTTCTATGATATGGTTTTATTTTGGTAAAAACTTTATGTTATGTTTAATTTTTTTGCAGAAATAAAAACTTATGAGGTACTATTGTTATAACAATATCAAGTTGTTATTTGTTATATGCAAATATTGTGATTTTGAATTGCACCTAAGGAACTTCAGTTTGATCCCGCTAAAGGTTCCAGTAGGACCAGTTGAAAATATGCATGATTTAGAGACCACATTGCATGAAATTTCCATGCCACTCATCCATATCGATCTATGTTATCAAGTACATTGATATGGTGGTCGTTGAGATTTCGTCATGTTACACGTCAGTGACGACAACCACGGCGGTCCCATTATTAATGTATGAGGTGGGGCGAATGGTAAAGTTAAAATCTAAAGATAAATATCATTCAGATGTCGGCCTAAACAATTATGATATAATTATTAAGATATATTGGTCAAGTGGGAGATTGTTGGAATATTTTAATAATTTAGTATTATATTAGTATTTCAATAATTATGTGGAAAAATATATTTATTTAATTATATTAGCTATTTGATCAATTAAGTGTCTTAAATGATTAAGTGATCAAAAAATGTTAAAAGGCTATTTAGATTTCATTTAAAAATTAGTTGATTAATTAATTAATTAAATAATTGGATAAGGGCTCAAATATGAGTGAATGCTAGGATGCCCATTTGGGAATAATGAGAATCTTAATTGGCCATTACACTATATATATGCTATGGTCTCCAATATACCGTACACAAACAAATTATCTCTTCTCACTATCGAACGGGAATTCGAGGCATAAGGTGTACCGGTTGAGGAAGAACCGCAAAAGCCATCAACTTCCAGGTTTTAGAATTACCACCAAACCAATTTTTCTAAATGGATCCAGGTATTCTAAAATCAAATTATCGATCCTTTAATTTTATACATGCTTGATGTTAGAATAATCATGACATATTTTCCTCGGGTTTTGATGATAATAAAGTACTGAAAGAACAATGATTTATTTGACGTGTTTTACATGTGTGCAGGTTCTAATAATTGTAAATATTATAGTCATAATTTGTTTACATTAGCACACTGGTAGTTGTTGAATTTCTAGCTTTTGGTGACAGAATCCAAAGAACACTTGTTAAGTGATGTCTGGCGTAGACTCTGAAGCTGAAGGTCTCAGCATCAGAAGAAGCAATATAATTGTCTATACTCTTAGTGAATGCAAATTGGCTTCTCGTACCATTCAGAGTTAGTGATAAAGCTGAAGTTGTCCGTACTGCAGAAATCAAGTTGTATTGTCAAATCAGTTTGTCAGTTAGAGTCTACAGATTGCAAGGCTCAAGAAAGGCTGAAATGCATTATGGATATCTACAAGAAAGGCTGAAATGCATTATGGATATCTACTCTTAACGACTCTAATAGTACAGGATCTCTTGAATACTCAAAGTTTAAACATGTTACACATTAGATCAAGATTTTTAGGTGTATCTATCTTCAACGTCTCTTGTACTATATAGCAAAAGTAAAAAGACTCATGATCAAGTTACCTCTTCAACGACTAGTTTCTGTAAAGGCTATATATATATATATATATATATATATATATATATATATATATATGTGTGTGTGTGTGTGTGTGTGTGTGTGTGTATCTATCTATCTATATATATATTTATATATATATATACACACACACACACACACACATATATATATATATATATATATATATATATATATATGTGTGTGTGTGTGTGTGTGTGTGTGTGTGTGTGTGTGTGTGTGTGTGTGTGTGTGTGTGTGTGTGTGTGTGTATATATATATATATATATATATATATATATATATATATATATATATATATATATATATATATATATATATATATATATATATATATATATATATATATATATATATATATATATATATATATATATATATATATATATATATATATATATATATATATATATATATATATATATATATATATATATATATATATATATATATATATATATATATATATATATATATATATATATATATATATATATATATATATATATATATATATATATATATATATATATATATATATATATATATATATATATATATATATATATATATATATATATATATATATATATATATATATATATATATATATATATATATATATATATATATATATATATATATATATATATATATATATATATATATATATATATATATATATATATATATATATATATATATATATATATATATATATATATATATATATGTGTGTGTGTGTGTGTGTGTGTGTGTGTGTGTGTATCTATCTATATATATATTTATATTTATATATATATATATATACACACACACACACACACACACACACATATATATATATATATATATATATATATATATATATATATATATATATATATATATATATATATATATATATATATATATATATATATATATATATATATATATATATATATATATATATATATATATATATATATATATATATATATAT